ATGTTTCTCTGACATATAGTTAGGTGCAAGACTGGGAGAAGTACTGGCAGGTCCTTCCATTTCTATCCAGTTGACTATTCTTGCTGTTCCTCTGTTGCACTTCCTGAAGTGAGAGTTCAAATGTTACTGCTGAGAATGAACCGACACATACACAGGCATGCAACATATACTGTGAGCCTCCTTTCCTTACAAATTCAGCCTAAGACAACCCCAACCATGTCTTTACTTTGTTTAGCAACCACTGCAACCTGGGCATTTGTTCTTCATTAGAGGGGCAGGGTGAGGACACAGACAGACAGACATGGTGCAGGGCTTCTTCTGGATCTCAATAAGAAAGGCACAGCAATGCTTTAATAAGACAGAGTAAGACAAGGAATACAGAGAGCAGGCAAAGTGTACATCCTACTGGGCACAGCACATTCAGGTAGCATTGGACAGAGCCCAGATGGCTTTTCCCACAGTGCTCTGCACAGAGCAGATGTAACCCCCTCTGCGGCGAGCAGCTCTCCCTTCTCATCACTTGAGCTATTTTGGTTTTGCTTATAAGAAAACAACCTTCTTTCCAAAGGCTGTTCTCATGAGAACTTGCTGCTGGTCTGTTAGATAAAGGCAAGGCCAGACAGGTGGTGCAATCGTGGTGCCGAGTAGGAGTTGCCCACAAGCTCTGCTGCTGGGATGAGCTGGCAGAGGTGTCCTGCAGCCAAGGGCTCCCTGCAGCACAACGGAGACATGAAGCCCCAGCAGGCATGCAGCCCAGCACTGCTGTGTGGACCACTGACTCCAAAATGTCTAAGGGTCCTTTGGTCAGGATCAATACAGCAGCTCAGGAAAAGCCTCCTCCTGTCTGATTTCTCAGTCTTGGGGAACAGTTTGGCACAGGAACCTGAGGCTTTGAAGCTGCTGGCTCTGGAGTGTTTGCTTTCAAAACCAACACAGGGCTGGAGCTCACCATGGGCATGAGTTGGCATATTAAAGATCAGGCATTGCTTTGGTACCATTGACCAAACATTCAAAGGCCATTATATTGCAAACACTTTCTTGAGCACTGTAATCAATGCAGCTGAAACCTGCACCTGTGGGGTACAGCTGGTTTTTTGAGTTCCACTTTAGGACTTAATGGGCAGAAGAGCTCTGGGTAGCTGTTTGCTCATTATAACATTGTGAAAAAGATAAAAAGACCTCAAATAAATGTCCAAAGTAGTTTGCATTAGATTCCCTTTGAGCTAGGAAGCAGGTGGCAACAAATTGTTTAACTGGGTGGTAATCAGTGTATACCTTTAAAGCAAATCATTCCAGCATGCTCTGCTCCCTTTATATAGGGGCACTGCAGGCTTTAGTTACTTGGCTTCTTGGCTACTCCACTATGCAGTGAGTATTGTTCTCCTTCTTCCAGATTTGCTTTCTCTAGTTCCCACAGGATAGTTGTGCTGCTGCTCCCAGCCAGGCTTTTGTTTAAGGATGTGTGGCTTGGTTTTGCTTCTTTTCAAGTGAAGAAGCTTACAGTGGGTGTGGGGGATATAGCAAATCTAGAGTTACTGCTCTTCCTTGAGTCTGTCTGTGGACTTAAGTGCTTGGAAGGAGGTGAGAGCGGGGTAGGGGTTGAATGGCTATGATTTATGTCATAAAATGATCTCATTGCATAAAAGAACTACATATCTATGTGAATGCAGCTTTAGTCTTTGAAAGGTAATTAATTTTTCTTTTTAGTTTTGGATTACTTTGGGTACATTCTTCTAAGACAAGTGATTAAAAAGCACTTTTAAGTTGTTCAAGGAATGTTTTAGTGTCAATCCTAATCTTACACGGTGCAGCTGAGGGAATGGGTGATGCTTAGTTTGGAGGAGGCTGAGGGGAGACCTCATTGCCCTCTGTAGCTACCTGAAAGGAGGTTGTAGGGAGGTGGGTGTTTGCCTCTTCTCCCAAGAAAATAACGACAGGACCAGAGGAAACGGCCTGAAGTTGTGGCAGGGGAGGTCTAGATTGGATATTAGGAAGAATTTCTGTACTGAAAGAGTGGTCAGGCACTGGAACAGCCTTCCCAGTGAGGTGGTTGAGTCACCATCCCTGGAGGTGTTCAAACACTGTGTCGATGTGGCACTTCAGGGAATGCTCTAGTGGCTGAGGCTGTAGGGCTTTTTGTTTGCTTTTTTTGGGTTTTACTTTTTTGATTGTTGCTTAGTTGGTTGGGGGGGGGAGTGGATTTGGTTTTTTGCTGGTATTTTCTGGTGGAATGTGTGTGGTTGTAGTGTTTTGGTTGGGGTTTTTTGTGTTGATGGTTATCTTGGTGATCTTGCTAACATGACAAATCTGTGATTCTGTAAATAAGCTTGATCCACAAGTAACCTGTTTTATACACAAATACTGGGGCAAGAGCATTAGGATGTGGTAAATGAGGTAACATGAAGGACATAAGCATTAGTACCTGATGTAGTCTGCACGTGAAAATGTATTGCGTTTGTAAGAGTTTATCTGTGTCACCCAGTGGGATAAAGATCTTATAAATCAGGTTGCGTCATTTTTAAGCATTCTGCTTTGGTATTTATGCACATATGTAATGGGATGGCTCATCTTAAACTGTGGATAGTGTTCCATGTGCTATTCTGAAAGCTGTCCGGCCAGTGTATGATTTACTTGCATCTGGTATGTTGTCCTACAGAACACACTAAGTCAAAACAAAATCTGAAAGGTAAGTGAAGTAAATCCAAGATGAATGTTTTATCCAACTCAAAACAGGCTACATCCAAACATTGGAACTGCCTAATTCAAGTCAAGCCTAAATACTCACTGGATTTACACATAGGATCTGAAAATTGAATTAAGGGGAGAAAATACTGTAAAATGTATATAAAGGTCAGTGATTGGGGGAACTGAGCATTTAATTTCTTTAGATGCTTTAAAAATTCAAATATGAATTACAACACCTAATCTTCAATGCAAATCTTTCTCACATCTACCTCACTCATAGTGACTTATTGATTTAAATACATTAAAACGACCCTCAGCATGTAGTCTACATAGTATTTTCTAAGTTCAGGGTTTAGCATGTTATAAGACCATCTCAAGTAGCAGATCACAAGTAAAAAATGTTCTGTAACTAGACTTGTAGAAACAGAACTGCAGTTAAAAAGTAAGTGATGCAAACTTTTGAGTAAATCAAAGCCTGTGCAAAATGCGTTGCAGTAGGTGGAAGAAGGGAGAAAGGTGGAGAAGGAAGAGGGGGGAAAAAACTAACCCCACAGGAAAATGAAAAACAAAAATAAACAGAAAAAACAAAACCCAGTCTTCAAGAATGAAAGAACATAGTAACCTGTCAGCTGCATAAAGATGACAGAACAAATGAGAAACTGTATGCTCCCCTTGGAGGTACATCTTCCTTTTTTTAATAGAAGTCAATTAAAGAGTAGTAAACTGGTGATTTGTACATGCATCCTGGGCTCTTTTCAACCTTTGTGAGAAAATGATACATTTTTGAATGTAGCATCTCTGTGTTCTGTAGCAGCTTCTGAAGTGTTAGTGTAGAAAGGTTAACTACTGATTGCATAATTTAGATTTATTCCTTGATCTTGAACAAAAAAAAAACCAAACTGCAACCTACATTTTGTCTGTTGGATAACTGAAATATTACTGCTCCCTGCTTGCACTAGAGCTATTGATACTTGGAAAGAATGGGCCAATGTGGCATTTTATTTAATCATTATCCACAACTGGAAGTATTTGTGTTTCTGGAAACACTACAGACTGCCCAAAGCACAAAGCAGGGCTTCAGAAAACTCACGTTTCTGGAAACACTACAGACTGCCCAAAGCAGGGCTTCAGAAAACTCATTTTTAAAGATTGGCTAAATAACCTCACCATGAGGTACACTACCCTACTGTACAACTTTGTCCTGAGGAACAAGAAAACATTCCAAGTATCTGGATGTCAAATACAGTAACAGTCAGACTACGAAATATCTGAATGTTCAGGCTTTTTCTTGGCTGACTTAATGTAAAAGGAAAGAAGGTATTTCGTAAGTCAATATAAGTATCCATGTAAAAACTGAGCTGGATTTACTCACCAGGCTTTGATTATCTGCGAACATTGTTGCAAATATAAAGTTCTGACTCTGTTGCCTGCACAGAGGTTTCCCTCCCCAGTGCATGCTCCATACTATAAGCTTAATGTATTTATTCTCATTTCTGGCTAGCACATAAAGAGAATATATAGACAATACTGGGTTGGGGGGAAATGGATGGGGAAAAAAAGTGAACTGTCTGAAGAGGACACATAGCACATTTACAAGAGCTTTTAAATTCTAATAGTCTGCTTTCAGGAGGAGCTTTAGATACCAGTTAAAATTACTTTTATTCAAGAAGTCCATTGTGCTTGGTACAGATGCAGGAATAAAAAGGTAGCTACAAGCTGAGGTAGAGTGGAGGGGTATGGAGGCAGGAGGTGAAGCAGCTGCCAGCTGTGTTGGCACACCAACTGAGCTCTTCACCTGTGACTGACTGCCTCAGCTAGCACAGAGCTTTCTTTTCACCCTTAGGGCTTTTCTTCCATTTGACTCAATCTGTTCCCCACTCCTAACTGTTGAAGTGTCACTGTTATATCCCTTGATTCAACCCACAATTCAGGATTTTTTGGACAGCTGAACTTTTTACCCAATGACTCTTAATAGACTGGCATTTAAAGCTGACCCTGTGTTTTCCAAAAGGGACAGGTCATTGTCACCAAAACATTAGCATTTCCCTTCCCAGTGTCAGTTAAACTATTATATTGACATCAACACAAGGCTGTGATTTGCAATTACTCCATGCTTGCTTACCTTCCAATCAGTATTTCTGTAACTGTTAGCATCATTAAATGAGCTGTTGCTTTTAATTAGTCTTGCAGCACTCTTACATGCTTCACCTTTATTTTTTTTCTGTACAGTGGAACAAAGCAACACTTTGAAAACAAAAAACATTCAGGAGGTTTACACTAGTTTACATTTATTTAAAAAAATATTCCAACACTTGTGTGTTTTGCCTGTGGATTATTAACTACAAATCAAATAGGGCTCATCACTCGAAGAGGTTCACAAGTACAAACAGCCTCCTTCTGGCATCTTCACATCCTCCTCTTCTGCGTGCTTATGTACAATACTGTGAAAAGCAGAAAGTGGCACATGAGGGGCCTGGTAAATAATGTGCAGGAGCTTGAGTACTTAAAACATCTTATTTCCATGGTCTTTAACACAACAGTGTAATGAATCCCATCCATCATGAACAAAGTCAGGAAACTTAAGTCCAGGTTTCACAAAATGCTACCAAATCTACACATTATATATTACTTTGCTTCAGTATTTATTATATTCACAGCCAAACTTCACTCCAGCAGATGCAGGCTGAACAGAGGAAGAACAAAACCAGCTGCCCTGCAGCATTACTGAGGGGAGCATGAGAGTGTTTCTACACAGTACAATGATGGGTGTCATGCACTCATGCTGTGATCTTCCAACAAAAGCTGGAAATCCCAAGCACTTAAGGCAAAGCTAAGGACTGCCTATGAAGGAGCAGACACCTTCCACCTGCCTGGCTGGTGACACCCCCCAAACAGATCCATGCACAACACGAAACTGCATCAAGCTCCTAAACCTGGAATGTCTTAATTTCTCTGCTCAGCCTCTTCTTCAGCCTCTTGCCCCTCATCCATTTGTTTTAACTTTTATAAATTATTCTTATTTCCATAATTGATTCTCCAGCTGCAATGTCACTGCAGTCCTTAGCATAATAATCCAAATTCCTTGCAAAAAGCATTTGGCCTCATTCAAGGATTATTTCTCCTCCCAAAAAAGTCTCTCACTGGTGCCATGTTCTGTGGTGCCACAGGGGATTCAGTTCTTGTTTCTTTTATTTCTCTCCTTCCTGTCCTCCATTTTCTTCTCAAGTAATTGGTCAAATGCTGTTTCATTTACCTTCTCAGTAAGTCTCTTCACATCTGACTTGTGAGCATTTTCTGGTTTTAGATATTATTCTCCTCCTAGCATGTCCTGCTATTACAGCCTAGCTGATACAGAGTCATTTCAGGAGCTTGGGATTGTCCTTTACATGAACTAAAATCCATCCACTGCACTGGGAAATTCAAAGGCTCAATAGTAAAGTGCAAGTGATTTTCTTGACTGGTGGCAAAATTTTTACTCACAAAGATGAAAATAAACTGCAGTACTAATGAACAGCACAGGGGTCTGGACAACTGCCCCACAAGAGAATACTAGAGTGTCTGCAGTATTTGTACTGTAGCATAAATTTATGCAGTACTTTGCCTAATAATACACACTTCTATGGAGCACAGACCATCCTGGCAGGCAACCAGCACAGAAGAGTGAACCTGTCAAAAGCTGGGAACTAAGCCCTAAGGAAGGCTAGGAAAGAGCAGGCTTCTCTAAATGAACTTCAAGTTCAGTGGCAAAAAGGGCCACAGGAATAAAGAAAAGCACCAACGCTGAAAAGTGAAAGTAAAAAGTAGATGTGTTCAAGTTTCCAAGATAGCCTGAAACTAATATTCTTACAGGCAGCTTGCTTATACCTCAGCCATTCTTCAAATTCAGAAGTAAATATCAAGACACAATCTTTTAATAAGCAATAACACAAGGAAGAAGAGTTACCATTATTTCCTCGGATAAATGCGTCCCCATACTTGTTCTTTAATTGCCCATTTACATATTCTTCAGTCTGTTCCAGAGCTATATTCATATACCCATCCAGGCAAGCCAGGACACCTGTAGACAGTGACAGTTTAATAGTGAATCATCTTAAACTTGTTTTTAAATAAACACAAATGCATCATGTTTGAATAGTACAGAAAACCCGTGTAAGAAACTGAAAGCCCAAGTCTGGCCAAATGGGTCAGTCAAAAGCTGTATATCAGAGTATCCTTCAAAGAATTAAGATAGGAGTAAGGAACTCCAGTAGCTGACATAAGAGTAGAAGAAAAAGTCATTGAGGTATAACTTAAAAGACTGAATATTTCCACTCTGAAAGTTTAAGTTGTCCCTTCTCACTTGTGTTTTTAAGCCACACACCTGAAAAGAACTTGTGATATTAACTGTAACTGGATAACCTAAGGACAAGGTTATATAAATCAGGTTTTCATCAAAACTTGAGAAGAATAAAGCTGAAAATAGTCCTTTTAATACAGGACACCACATACAATTTTTCAAATTTATTTTAATATTTACAGATCTAGAGAAACACTGACTACAAGCCTCTGTCTTTGTGTGAACAAAACTCTACATTTTTCACAGGCAAAGGTGTTTCAAGGGACAGTGAAACCTTCTCACAAAAACAAAATTAATTTTGCATCTTAAGAAAAAAAAAACACCCTGCCATGTGTAACATTAGCTGTTCTTTTCATTGGGAAAATAAGCATCTGAGTAGCACTGCTTTTAGAGAAGTACTTGTGTTCTCCCTTCTCATAGGCTGTGCCTTGTTCACACGGTACTGCCTCACTGCTGGCAGCATGATGGCATTTGTTCATCTAAAATCTCTCCTCAGCCTCTATACCCAGCCTTAAGATCAGAACCATGGCTGTCTACAAATTGAACCTGCCTGATGAACAGACTATTCAAGTAAGGAACTGAATGTGAGGATTAAGAGATGTAAAGAATTGCTCAGAGAATGCCACCTGATTTGTTAATTGTGCACACAAAACAACTTGTAAAAAGCTGTATTTATTATCTCCATCTTGCATGTGTGTTTTCTTGACTTCATCCTTGCACACACAGCCAACACTACTAAAATACTCATTTTTTTTTTTCCTCTGTTTGAAAAACACCTAATTTGTTTACCTGGCACTAAAACTCAAGAAATATAGTGTGATGGCTTCACTTGGGGACAAGGCAAAAACTCCAATATGAGAATCCTCCTCTAGGATATGTTCTTGTTTTTCAGAAGTGTTACTGTTAATATCTTCCACTAAATAATTAGGAATTCAAGTTCTTCTGTCAACTTGTAATGGTTTGAGGATTATTATTTTCCAGTAATTTTTTCTTACTTCTGTCTCCACAAAAAGGGCAAAACTGAGTGACTGCTCCAAATGTTATTAACCGCACCAAAAAAAACCAAACAAAGAAAAGGAAGCTATTTTTTTGCTCTCCAGTAATCTCAAGTACTCCACATAGCACTAGAAAACAAAAAATATTTGTCCAAAATTAAAATTAAACTGTGGGGGGTTTTCATAAGCTACCATTCAGTAGGCCATAAATACAGTATTTTAATTTTATTATTTTTTTTTGTTCCTGAAGTGCATTCATGCTTTTCTCTTCCACCTTTCCTTTGTTTCCTTTCAGGTCACTAATGCCATTAGATATTGTCACTGCCCATCCTGGCTAGTGTTTTATCTTTTTTTATCTATATGTAGAAATGTTTTGATGTACATATCCAGTTACCTTCCAGACCTTCTTCCCCTACAAGTGGGCAGCACCTGGCAGCAAATCAAGACATTTTACAGCTACACATTGACACTTTTATTAGACTCTGTTTGTGCTCAGAGAGTGGAGGTACAGACATGAAATTAACAACAGAGCCTAGAAGCAGAATCTAGACAGACTTGCAACAAAAGCCTGAGATGCTGGCTTTTAAAAGGTCTGGCTTTCACAAATGTTGGTCAAATTTGTGCAAACAGTGCACATTTTTCAAACAAGAACAGCATACAGGTTTTAAACCATGGGGTCACATCAAGTGGGAAGGAAGGAAGGAAAGCAGAGGGAAGTAAGGAAGGGAGGGGAAAAAAAAAATCCAGTAACAAATGAGGGTGTTTAAAGAAACTATGGTTCAATTCCTGGTAGGCCTGACTGAGGCATGTTAAACTAGCTTTGTTGAGGGGAAAGCTGAGTAGTTTATCTGTAGTAGTTACAAATGGATCTTACTGAGCAGAAGGTACCAATATTCTTAAAATAGGAAGTGCATCCCAAAACCAGATTGGGTTTGGCCCTGTGCTCTGTGTACCTTTAGGTAAATGACTTGATCTAATTGACTTTAATGAGCTGTTGCTGCATTCTCCTACAAGGAAGAATTTAGAGGCCAAAGGCTGATGAGAAACTGAAGCTTTTCAGCTACCAACCTCACCTGAAGTGTTCAGATAATGTGGTTCTCAAAGAAATGACACACTGAAAATTCAGCCAGCTGAAAGACGCTAAAGAGAAACAGGAGGGGGTATGAAGGGACTGCTTGCTCTGTCTGTGAACAATATCAATCTAAAGCTCTCAAAACACTAAGACTCCTTGTCACAGCACAAACAAGTCTCCTCTCACAAGTGCTAAGCTGAGCCAACTGAATTAAGCCTGTTTCATGCTGTGATCTGCAGCAGAATCATAATGTTTAAGTCATTCCAGAATAAAGTGTCTGAATTGTGCACAATAGGAGATATGTGAGAGTTTCAGTTAAGTTTGGATACTACTAAAGAAAAAAAATCAGACAGGCCAATAGTCTCATCCTAAGGGGAGTAGGACCAAGAGTGAACAGAGAAGTTGAATTTACTGCCTAAAAATAACAATCCTACATACAGTGCATGAAGTTATACATATAGACAGGCTGAAGAATTCTGGAATAAAACTGCTGGACTGTGTTAATAGGACCTTGGCTTACATGCAAAAGCCATGCTAAGCTTTCTCTTGTATCTTTTTGAGTCTTGATCCAACAAGTGCCTAGGGCACTTCTTTAACCAAGAATGTAAGTAAGTCTTGCATCCCATGTGTAAGAGCTGGTTTATCACTGATAGCCCAGTTAACTGTTTGAAGCTTTTCTGGACCAAGGTCTATACTTGGAATTGGAGAACAGGAAAGTGAAGAAAAGGGTAGTTCCAAAAAGGGTTGCTATCAGACCACTGAAAAGGCACTGCCTGACCATTTCAGGAACTGTAATTCCAACCCATCTTTTACATATATCAGTTTAGAAACTCAGAATCATCCTGAGACTCCAGTCTAATCATCTGTGATAAGGATACTAATGATTTAGATAAGTAATTTTAATCTCTAAATTCACTGCTAACCTCCTTTTCATCAGTTTCAATCAGAGCTGATTGTCTGTTTTTACTGTCACCATTCTGAGACCTGTATTCACTCCAAGATTCTGGATCACACTGTTTTGCTTTTCAAAATCAATGCATCTGTTCTAGCCTCCCCATGCTCAGCATGAGAGACAGATGGAGAACGTACCTCTATAATCAACTCCAGAATTTAGTTTTACAACAACTGGCCTTCCAATGATTTGTTTTAGGAAGTCACTCGGGGTTTGCTTCCGTAGGCTCATCTTGCTGTCTCCTCTGGTAAGCTAGGAAGAGAAGCTGAGAGAGAACACGGGAATAAGCACCACACTCAGACATGATCTTCTGACCCAGCACAGACAGGCAGTCACCCGACCCAGCACTCTCAGTAGAAGAAAATACAGAAAGAGCAAAAAGCAAAATCTTAAGGACAGAGGCGGAGAGACAAGAGTTCCCACAGCCACTGCATTAAACCTTCCCTTTGGCACTGCTGTGCCTTCTCAAATTAGGGATCCTGCTTTTGCCAGGCTGTGCATCTTGAAACCTTCCCGCAGAGCCAGAGGCCTCCCCCGCTCCGGAGCCTTCTGTTAAAACGCTTTTACTAAAACGGGAGAGCTGGGCCGTGACCAGTGGTTCGTGTTCCCAGGGCTGGGAGAGCCCGCGGGTGCCCCGCGGAGCTGTGCTGGGACCGCGAGGGGAGAGGTTTGTCTTGGCTCGTAAATACAAGCGAAGAACGCACCCGAAAGGCCGCCCTCCGAGCAGCCTGGAGGGGGCCAAGCCTGGGATTAAAGCCTGT